AGGGAAATAAAAACAAAGCTGGCTTCTAAGACACAACATATTTATCGATTGTCTTTCCCTTTATTTCCCTTTCTGTCCCAGATATAATAGCACACACACATATATATATATATGATATATACAGAATTATCTGGCTATGCAGACCATGTTCCTATATCCGAAGCAATGTATTATAGAACCTACAAACATACAGTACAATATGTAAATGTGCATTTTACAAGAAACTCCTTTCAGGATTGTAGTGTAATATATTTTCAGCATTTTGGTACTGCATATTCTGTAGTATGGTGTGATATTAAGAATAAGCAGTCACTATCAATTATAGCAACGAATATCAAATAGATCTCAACACTTTCTTTTAAGACATCATGTATAAATCATAACTGTTGGTCTGCATAAAAATATCACCATTTTTAAAGATATGTTGATAATATTTTGTTCTTTGTAGTCCTTCCTAAATAATTTTATAGAGTAATCAAAAAACAATATGTAAAAATACATTTAAGGGGAATATATTTGTATTATACTGTCAACATTTGTAAGCAATGTGTATATTACCAGGTGCACAGATGGATACCAGGTGTTCTTTGGGAGACCCACATGGAAATAAAAGAAAAAGTAAGCAGAGAATTAACTGTAATAGAAAATTATGGATTTTCTACAGGAAAAGGTTAAATGTGCCCATAACAATCTACACAACTTTTTGTTGTTGTGTTGTTATAAAGATGTACAGCACTCTCATTGTCAACTTTTGTCATCTTCAAGCCCCCTGACATCATGTTTTTTTCCTACTATGATCACTCAGCACAGGAACTGGCAAACACACTTCAGACTAAAGTCATTTAATGTGGAGTATTTAGTGCGCAATTACTGTTTCCTGCAGTTTGATTTTTTGACAAGTACAAAAGGCTAACAGGGAGCAATAATGGGTCAGACTCATACAAGCAGAAAGACCCAAAATAGGCCTGGGTAAGTTCATTATATTCCAAATGTGGCTTGTGAGAATGGTGAGCGCATGTCGATGCATCTTTTACTTTTTACACAATTAACAGGAGCCTTAACTACTCAATTTAGTTTTCACTTCTACAACAACCTGGCTTCCTGGAAATCCGGTAATCTGTATATTTTATAGGAAATGTTTTCTGCTTCTTTTTGAACAACATTTATTGTGTTTGAGCTCAGCCTGAAAAATAATTTAATCAGAGTTAAAAAAAGTAGAAGTACATTCATAAAATGGGCTTGTTTATTTTTTCAAAGACAACATTGCAGCCTCCATTCATCGTTGCATCTTTCCTTGCGGAATGACAAACAAATGAATCCCTCTCAATGGGAAAATAAAGCAATTTACTGTGACATCATGGAGTGACAGACTGAAGATGGAATTTTTGCTAAACAAAATACCAATAATCCTTTTCTCAGCTCTTTGGTTTTGAAAAGAATTGCCAATAGTCATGCGCCAATAAATAAATTAATCTTAAAAACACATGTATGATAAGCATGACTGTAAAAAAATAAAACAATTAAGCAACTAAATGCTATTAAAAACTTTAACTTTAGTGTTAAGTCTATTAATAAAATATCTTGCCCACAAACACAATAGCAAACACATTCAGTTCTCAGAGCCTCATTTCCTGACAATAAAAGAATTCAAACTACAAACCCCACGATCCAAATAAGACAGCCAACGCAAAACTGAAATTTATTTGCTCCAGCTCCAAACTTGCTCCACTTTTCCATGTCTAAATATATTCCATTGAAACTTCTCTAAAATGTGTTTTATATGGAAAACAGCATTCACTTTATTTTCTCTTTCCCATATCTATGTCGTTTCTTGCCAGATGTTTCTATGAATTGTTTACAATCACTTTTAGAACAACTAGGCATACGTTTTGGACTGGAGTAAAACCGTTTTGAAGAGAAGGTGATAATGTGTCTGCTGCCACCATCAGGACAAGCCTGGTAATTGCGAGAGTACACTCAGCAGTGACCCAGCCAAATGAGACACCATGGAGCAGAAAAATCTGTCCATGTCCTCCACTGGTAACCATGTCTATTGCTAACTAGTTTTTTTTTGTTGGGGGGTGGGGATGGGGGAAGGAGGGTTCTTAAATTCAAACAGTTGATTTTGCAAAAGATTTAAAATCGTATCCACAGTGCAGTCATTTAAAATGCAGTTTAAATCATAAAACACATCTCTTGGAGGTTGTGAGTTGTCTGATAGCTTTCACTTTTCCTGATGAAATCCTGTCATTTTTCCCCTCACTTTTGAGTAATGCCAAAGCCAATTTTGCTCCAAAAATGTAATCTGGCAAGATGTCCTCAGCCCTAATTCTGTTACAAAAAACATATGTGCTGGATTTCCCAACTTGCCCCAGCTGCTTTCCCCCTTAAAAAAGGGAATTCTCCCACTTTGAAATCATTTACACCCCAACATAAGGCTTTGATCTTTGAAAAGTGGAAAATCTCCAGAGTTTATGATTTCATTGTACACATGTTTTTTACAAGTAGTGCTAAGAAACAGTTCCTCTGCTGGTGTTTGATATGTTCTTTGTTCTTCCTGGACTGTTTCCCAACTCTTTGCTCTGTGTCTAAATTTAATTTTGTACTTAACAACAAGCTTTCTATTAATTGGTTTAAGTGTCTCGTCAGATCCTGGTTCCAGCAAAACACATTGTGTTTTCTAGACAGCACACATAATGCTTCTGTAGACCTTGCTATGTCAGTTGGACTCTAATCTTTCTGGGAGACTGATTGGGGAAATGCACAGATTATCAATGGTGAACATTTCTAAAACTGATATTTGTATGTGAAAATTTGAAAACACATCAATATTTATTTTGATTCTTACTTGTTACAGGCCGTTATGGAATGCTGTTTCATCCATTGTGCCTATTGCTTGCCAGGAAAGGCTTCAGCTCTCCTGTGACCCTGTATTGAATAAAATGTTTGTTATGTTTACAATCCACACAGTCGTAGGACAAAATATTAGACAACATTATAAATATTAATACATTATAAAATGTTTAGGAAACATGAAGTAGAAATTTGGGGGATTTTCTTAACAAAAATATTTTTTATTCTTCTAAAATCCTTCCTCTCTTAGAACACAGTCTAACACTTTCCACTGTGACAATGATACGTATCACAGTTGGTTTCTTTGACACTTCCTGTTTTATTCAGAGGCACAGTACCAAAATGAAACTTAATTGGAATAGTGATTGCATTTATCACAATCAAAGTAACACAGAGAACACAAGGAAATACAAGAAAAGTATCATAGGGGTTGAGAAAAGAAAAACATCTTTACACAAAGGTATGTGGGTGTCTGGAACAAGCCACCCAGCCATTATGTTAAAGCAACATAAAAAAAAGGGTGGAAAGGATTCTTAGGTCTCTTTTTGATACTAACTTTTTGCATGTTTAAATGTAATGTTAAAACATTATGTTCTTATATTCTATGTTCTTGATATTATCTAAACTCTAGGGTTTAATTCTATGAAACAATAATAATAACAATAATAATACTACTACTACTTATAATAATTGCTTACACTTATATAGCGCTTTTCTGGACACTCCACTCAAAGCGCTTTACAGGTAATGGGGACTCCCCTCCAACACCACCAATGTGAAGCATCCACCTGGAACAATGCGTTCTAGTATTATATATTACAGACCAAATGCAATGGTCTTAGACAAAACTCACAGAACCCTGCACTGTTTAATTACTAGGGGGTCTGCTTTATTCACAGGGATCTCTGTTAGATGGTGAAGCAGTTACTTCCATCCTGGTACACTGCAGAGGAGGAAGAGCTTAGAAAGAAGCAGAGCTCAGAAATTTATAGCACATGAGAGGTAATGAGATATTATTTTAAAAGCATGTTTTCATATCGTGAAACCCATCTTGGCCCCTGTGTTGTATAATATGCTTAATTGAGATCTCATGTAAAAATTTTTAGTTAATTTATGAAGTGTGCTAGCATAAAGAGGATTTTTAAAAACCTATCAGTGCAGATTTGATTTAATGGCACTAAGAAACACTGGGCACACTGCAGGCAAGAAGTACCAAGAAGTACAAACACTGTAAACTCATAGCAAGATACACACAAGGACCAAAGAGCACAAAAAACAACTGAATATCTGCTAAGAGCAGCCAGAGGAACAGTGGTGCTATCTCACTTTCAGAGATTTTGCTTTAAAGTGATTATACGTGTGCAGATGCATGGAGACCATCAAAATCGAAAACCACATGAGGCCTTTATTCACACATAGCACAGTCCTGAACTACAAAGACAAAGAACACAGCAACAGCTTGTTTTCCACTGTACTTGTTTTGGGTTTATTAAAATATTTATCTTTCATTTTCTAACCCTTTTCAGTTAAACCTGATTTAAAAATGTATAAGTAGATTGGGGGGCTGACTGAAGTGTGTTTTTTTTTAAAAAAGAGTAAAATCTCAATTACTAATGTATATTAATGGTAAGGTTAATAGTACAATCAATGATAAAATGAATGTATACAACCTTTCCAGGCTATTTGTTTTTGAAACACTGAAGATCTGTTTCACACTGGTACCCAGCATTAACCTCTCTCTCCTGAAAGTGTTGCTTAATGGTCTATGTACAGAACGAAATGTCCTTTTCCCAGGAATCATTCAACTCCTACACCTTCCCAGAGGCACTCTCTTCGGCAAATACTCTGTGAGGAGATGGGGTCAGTGACTGTGAGTGCGATGGTTGCTACACAATGTGGTGTCTTCAGAAATTAGTGAGAAGAAACCACAAAGGATAAAAAAGGAAAACTTAAGAAAGAAAATGAACAAGTAATCTAGTGCACGTGGGAAATGAGTGTTTCTTATTTGGAGGCTGTAGGAATAATATGAGGTCTGAAAGAACGAATGATTCTGACCTCTTCAGACAAATATCAATCACTAGAGAATAGGAAATTTATGAAGTGACTCAGCTGTGAATGTATAAACTATATAAAGGCCACAGTATTGGAAGGTTTTATAAAATGTACTTTAATTTTCTGTAAAATGACTTAACAAACACTTTCATTAAGGCTTAAGAATAATTTCATCTGACATTCAAAGCTTCTTCAGATATGCTATACTGAGGATCTTTAAAACTTTTGACAAATACTCTTTATGGGCTTCAGTTTCCACTTACTCCACATTTATGGCAATTTCAGCATCTTTATATATGTGTTTAATACACACTTCCTCATTATACTTTGCATTTGAAATAAGATCTGTCTGTCAATTTATTAAAGCAACAAAATATTAATGTAGCCCAGTACGTTACTTCATAGTGTTACTGTAGATGTTTGTGTAACACCTTCAGAACAGGAAAAGAAAAACATGTTTTGCGTTTCAGAACAGACAGACATAACCTAGCATAGTGTCAATAACAACATTTTCCTCAGACAACCAGAAATATCTTGTTGCTGCCAGTCTTATGTCTGTTTGAAAAATCATTTTATAACAGCTAGAAATACATGTGGAAAAATATTACCCAGAGAAGCAAATATAAACAACACTGCTATAACAATGAAAAGTTAAATAAATTCAATACATATATAATAATACATTTTGTATTTTTTAATTTAATTTACATTGTATTGTTTGCAATTCTTAAAACAAGTCTAAAATTAAATTAATGTATTTTCTTATAAACATCAATTTTCACTGTGTCTTACATATCCGTGTAAGATTTTCTAAATCATGTAAGCATGTTAAGAATTTCATCTAACTTATTTCAGAAAGGTACCATAGTTTATTCATCTTTCAAAAGATGGATTTGATTATTTAAGACAATAATTTTTTCTTTCATTATCAGAAAGACAGAAATCATTATTTTTGTTCATTTCTCAAAAAAACCTTTTATTTGGACTAAGCAATATAAAAATGCCTTGATGCCTACATAATTCTTAACTTTAAGATGTCAAGAAAGATATGCAAACATATTTACAGTATTTAGATATATTATACTGGATATGTATTTATATTTTCAGAATATATATATAAATATTTCTTCACTTGCTTTTTAACATTCTTGGGAAATATTGAACATGATGCTGTGACTTCAGAGCATTTTCTGTTTTGAAACCAAAAAAACAGCTTAGTTAAACATTTAATGAAATATTAGAGAGTTTAATAAAATACCTCTGCAGGAATATAATCGTAAGAAATTGTCTGATATGTAACAAACAGATGTCTTTAAGAATTTTAATTTTTAAAAGACACTTATTTATCCATTTAATTAGTTAATCCTTATAAAATGATCAAAGAGTACACTCAATGTACCAAGAGTTATAGTTATCTGATTGTCCTTGATGAAAATACGATCCTCATCCAGGAGCCTTCTGAAGAATTTTTACTTTGTGATCTTGATCCAATAGCAAAAAACCAGGGATTCAGGGGTTTCTGGACCAGAATGGAGACCACAGATTCTCCCTACCAGCCTTGTATGCTTCTCTGTGAAAATATGAAAGGTAACAATTGTGAAAACATAACTTAGTATTTTATATGTTGGGAGCAATTACAGGGTTATATTATATATCGCATTATCTTACACCAAATAGCCAAATTACGTTAAAAAACCAAATTACATCTTAAGCCATGCAATTACAATGGTATTATATCATTCAAGATTATTACCTCATTACAACAATGTTATAACATGTCACGGGCGTCTATAGTACATTTGTTGACCACACACCTCACTTGAAATAGCTTACAATTTAATGCTGCACACAACCTTCTTTCTCTCACTTTTCACCCCAAGGCCCAAAGAGTACCTTTCTCCTACCTAAACACACTTACTGTACAATAATAATAATGGTATTTTTATAGCTCATTTCATCCCAAGATGCAGTATGTACACAAGGGGACCCACCTCACCCACCAATGACATGGGCATACAGTATGTGGTTGCCATTCTGCACCAGAGGTTCAAAATGACTTCACCTCTTGAATTAAAACCTCTTTAATTAAACTTTAGCCAGGCTTAACTGAGCAAGCCAATGCGGAATTTCGTCAGGACAGTGTTGTTGCTACCCCTACCTTCTGTTAGTGAGGAATGTGGATTGACAGTCCTTTCTACAGGACAGTGCCCTATATCTGTCATGATCGTAAATCCCTCCTCTTAAGGTTACTCCGGCTGTTTCCCGTTTCAGTTGACGTTGTGCACCTGCCTCCGATGCAGCCCCCTCCCTATTTAAGCCAGATGCTCCCACCATTCTGGGCTCAGCTTTGGAAGATGGACGCCCAGAAGCCCGCCTACCAGCGGGTCCAGGAGAGACCCGACGTCATCGGCTTCACAATGGCGTCCTGACCATCTGGTTCCGAGCCAGGGTCCGGCGCTGGGAGTGCCTGGCCCCATTAACCCACTTTTATTGCCCATCCCTGCACCAGATCCCGCTACCGTTTTTAAACTTTACCTTGTCTGTACTGGGTGGATCACCCTGCTCCAGACTCTTGGATTTTGCCCTGGATTTTCCCTTTGGACTCCCTTGGACCTGTACGCCTGGACCCCCACCCCCCCCCAAAGACCACTGTCGTCATGCCCTTCTGTTCGTCAAACTGCCCAGTTCCTAGTTGTATCCTCCCCACCTACTGGCACACCACACCTCTTGCACCAGCTGTCTTTAGAGGTCTTCCATCCTTGTATTGAGCAGTTCAGCATTGCTTGGAGTGCGAGGTTACAGGGTGGTAACGCTGCGGTCACTCGAACACACTGGCAGTTCTACCAACTGGGGGAGCTTAAGTCACAAAACACACTTACATTGACATGTCCTGCGTGGCTGAGCCTGCAAGTCAACCTGATGACGAAGATCAGAGAAAGGCACAAAATGCCAAGGCTGGTGAGGAGATCCACAATCTGCAAACCCAGAAAGAACCACTCGTAGGAGGCTGGGTCCAGACACACATTCAGAAACCTGGTGTACGGGAAGGGGAATTTGACCGCGTAGCCAAGATAATCCGTGCCAACCGCGCCAGCGAACGTGTAGTAGCAGCAGGGGCCGATCATGATGGCAGCTACAGCAACAGCAAATTGTACAGGTGAGGTCACAGTGCACAGGATGGAGAAAGTGAAGCTTGTTTCCCACTACAACAGAAAACAAGGTGAAGTATGACATCCATGTTGTGGGATTAATGCATGAAACATAAATATTTCCACATGTAAGTGCAAAGCTGCTTCCAATATTTAGTCGTGTGTGGGACACACAGTACTCAGTTTAAAATTTTCCTTGCAGTTCAGCTGAACACATAATATTGCCACAAAAAGCAAGCCCGTTGGTCCCAAAGGACTTCTTGAAATTGTTATCTAACGTATTATTTCTGTGGAAAAAAAAAACATTCAAGACCATTTATAGAGCATCTGTCTCGCCAACAAACAAGGGCCAAGAATTTCCTTTTTTGTCTTGGCTGGCGCATTGTGGTTTGATGCTGTGTTCTCAAAAAGCAAGTCAATTTCTTTTCTACCCGAATGTCGTCTAGCATTCTTGCCAATTTCAACTGAGATAATTAAAGTTTTGTGTCCTGTTCTTTTTCTTAACCTCTTGTAATTCCTTGGATATTTTTGAATGTCTACACTTCCCTCTCTTGTAACACTTTCGTGGAGCACATGTGGTTTAATACTTTTTTATTTTTTGAACAAGTACATGAATGTGCTCCGTGACCAAAATATGAGAGTTGCGGTGCAGAGAAAAATAGAAACATATTTAAGAAAAATGTAGTGCAAAGCTCAGTCTAAAGATTTTTACGAATCATGTTATTAGTTTATATCAAAAACATTACAAAATGTCTGAGGCTCTGGTTAAGGTCAAGAGTCTGGCCAAAATGTCAGATATTTGGCAATGATTACAGTGTAAATTAGGAAGTAGATTTTTAGTGTAAGTCTTGTGCTGCTTTTCCTTGAACATATTTATTTGGGAGAGATAAGAGAATTATCACATTATCATAGCATTTTTTAACATTTTTACCTGTCTCAACTCAAAGACTACAAAGTCCAAAGTTTGTGGTATTACTGGGGGATCAGGAAACTGAAAAATAAACGTTTTAGACTGTACAGCCACTTCTGTCTACGAAACTAAGTAGCCATTCTTCAGAAATATTTCAGGTTTTCCTTCCACCATGTTTACCACAGTACGTGTGCCTGTAGTTTGCTTTGTATGATCCCTCATTACTTTTTGTGTTTTATCTTGCTTTCAGGCAGCACAGTGGTGGAGAGATAAGCCAAGCTATCATACATGTCTTGAGTCCAGGGTTTGACTCCAGCCTGGGGTGTCTTCTATGTGGAGTTTGTGTGTTTGCCACAAGGGTTGTCCTTTGCTGCTCTGATTTACTCCTACAATTCAGAGACATGCTGTCCAGGCTAATGGGCATTTCTAAATTGTCCCCTTTGAGTCTACGTGTGTGTGCGCCTGGCATATAGAAGTGTCTGGCATCTGTAAGCTCCTGGCATCCTGTCCAGGCTGTATCCTGGCTTGTGTCCACTGTCTGCAGGGCTAGGCTCTGGCTCACCAGAACCCTGTATTGGAATAAGTGGGTATTAAAATAAAAAACAGAGAGAAACCTTTACTGTGTCTGTTACCAGTCTAGTACGAGTTACCACAGGCATCTGGAATATTCTGAATAAATAACAACCCCTGTTGAAATAAGATATAAAATAAATATATAACTATATAACAAGATATAAAAATACAGTATTTCAATATTCTTTATACAGATTTCAATGTTTTTGTTGTCCTCTCCTGCATTTTTTCCGTGCCTGAGCTCCTTCTTGCTTTTTACAGTGCAAGTGGAAACTGTGTTTTAGAAATCCTTTGTCACAGTTGCCTGGTTTAACAAGATTTAAAACGTCTCCAGGGTTGGTTTCCTGGTTGTGAAACGTCCACGACAGCATTAAAATAATAAATAAGAAACAGCGCCTCACCCACTTGGTGCATGTGGTTTTTATTTAGTTCTTATCCATCAGTTGTGCCAGGAGTACTAAAGCATGGAGAGCTGAAAGCATGCCCCATTCATTTCTGCCATTTTCCTGCTTTTTTGGTGGAGGTTTTTTAATAAGCTGTGTTTGAAATGACAGGATGTCTGTTGAAAAGTAAATCACAAATGTACAAAAAGCATCCATCCATTAATTTTCTAACCGTTTTATCCAATACAGGGTCACTGGAGCCTATCCCAGCAAGTGACAAGCACAAGGCTGGATACACCTTGCACTGGATGCCAGTTCATCACAGGGCACACACACACACATGCACACTAGGGCCAGTTAACCTACCAGTCTGTCTTTGGACTGTGGGAGGAAACCAGAGTACCCGGAGACAACCTTTGCAAACAGGGAGAACATATAAACTCCATGCAGACAGTACCCCAGGTCCGGAATTGAACCTAGGCCCCAACCCTGTGAGACAGCAATGCTAACCCCTGCGTCTCCATTATTATAATTAGGAGTATTATAAGTATAGTATAGTAGTAGTGCTGATAGTATTTACCATGGATCTTACAGTCTGTTTTCTGTTCGCCAGCAGAACACATATACTAGAAATTAGTGCCTGAAAAAAGAAAATAAAAGAATAAAATAAAATAAAAAACATTAAAGATATGCAGATCCTCCTTTGAATTTTCTTCCGTTACATATTTATAACTTACAAAAATATTAAGCGTAGATATTTTGCATCCTTTTATTTAAAAAAAAAGTATATTTCTGACATTTGGGAAAAAGTATTTAGGAAACCATTGCTAAAAGAGATATTATCGACTGATATTAAAAAAAGTTAACCAATTATAAAGTATTAGAAAGTAAAAGAGATGACCAAACTAGTCAAATAACATTATGCCACAGACATGTACAACAAAAGCACATCTTTCTTTGTCTATAACTGGAAAGCTTAACACACTGCGAAAGACTCACTGCCTTGAAATAAATAATTTAATCAAATAGTGTGGAGGAAAAACTGAATTAGATAACTGCCAAACCTACCAAAATTCCAGTCCAGATTGGAGCAGCAATCCTTATACTCCATCCGACATACCATGGCTTGTAGCTGAAGACAGGAAAGAAAGCAAATACCCCTGACAGAAAGCTCAGAATACCAAAAACAAGCTGGCCTCCTCCGACAAACTGATACAAGTCTACCATTTTAAACTAACCTCTGTTCGGTTAATGAAATTCAGTCTTCCTTGGCCATTTGTGCCAGGTTTTTGTGTGCAGCTTCCAGAGAAACCGTTGTCAGTGTACACATAGGTTCCTGTGTACACATTGAGTTGGTGATAAGACTGTAGGACCAGGCCTACCTGCTGAGCATGCCGACATGTCCACAGGACTCACAGGACTGTGCACACGGCTGGGTTTGGAAGTCAGAGAAAAATCTAAAACTAAAGCCATAAAACTGTTACTTGCATTTTACTGGCCCTTGAAATGATTATCATCATCTTTTTTTTTTAAAAATATAAAAGGCACCTTGAACTATCCAAACTCATATTAGATGCTTTTTTGCTACAAAAATGTCTTTGGAATACCTTTTTTCTTTGAGTTGAAATTGTATATGAATAAGGGAAACATCCCTATCAATTTAATATGGTAATATCATATTGAGTACACAAACAGTACCTAAAAAACTGAAGAGTGTATCTACTTTATTATATGAAAATTTGTCAAGTTAGATTTT